TCTAAAGCCATCAAAAGAATCAACTTTGTGATTTACTGCTACAATTAATAATTGTCTCAGTAAATGCCCAAACCCTACAGAACCGGTTTTCCCTACATTATTTGGCGTCCCTGGGCCGGCTTAATCTACATTTGTTTTAATCTCCTTTAAGACCTAACTTTAGTAATTAACAAAATGTCTACAAACCACTTAATTTTGGAAAGTGTAAATTGCAGAGTCTTGTTTTCTTTATATGCATTCAATGAGAACACTGTGTGAACCCATGTGACTTGAAGCACATTTGAGGAGAGCTACAGGCACTTATTTCCGAGAGCTATGAAACGGCTGCCCAGTTATACGGATACGGATAGCCCTCGCCTGTCTAGCTCTCTGGCTCAGAGCGGACAGCTTGCTTACATTCTTAATGATGAGTGGGTATCGAGTGACTCTCTGCATGGGCTTCAGTAAGAAACTGGACAGTGGCATCCCCTTGCAGCGCGGGTCCATTGCTAACCTCTGGAAAAGAACCACGACATGGTAGGGGTAAGACGGAGGTAGGGAGCTCTGTTCCAGGCATAAGAATTACACTTCAGCATCTTAAACCATTTCATTTCATTCGAGTACCTTCACCACCCACGTAAGAGGCTCAATATAATTCACACAGGTAATTTAACAAGGCGTAATTTAACAAGTACTGTGTAATAAATCTACAGTATGAATAACTTTACATCAGCTTTAAGGTACTAATAATTGGATCTGTAACTATGTTAAACAGAGCTGAAGAACATTTCAAAACTCAATTCTGCAGACATGTTGATTCTGTAAGCTGAGAAGAGTGTGTCAGAAGCTTCAGTTTCACATAAGAAGTGGTATCTTTGTTAACTTACAGACACTTTGTGAATAAACAGCTTATGTTCTGAATATAACTCCTTAGATTTATTCCTGCAACAAACATTTGATGTTAATCTCTTCATTGCTGTTTTGCCCTGTGGCTTAAAATGGCGTTCTATTTTCAGATTTGTCATCTGCAATAAAAACTGATACCAGATTTTTATCTTACCCTTGAAAAGGGAGTAATCCAGAATTATGCTCAGATTTACAGTGAAGCTGGCTAAGTTTCACTTTCCTAGCTAACAATGTATGCCAAAGTGAGATTTAATTTTAAAAACCCACAAACAAGCAACCAACAAATAACCTTACAGGATACTGCTGCAGAAAATGATTATCAACTGATTGATATTAAATCTAAATTAAAGATTTAAATCAATTTTGTCGTATCCTGGCTGCTACGCCCATTTTAATTTAAATCCCATGAAACAAATCAGGCCTTGTAATACTGTAATTTCTTATGACCCTGACAACGAATTTCAGATCGATGAGCAAAACTGAAATTAAGTAGGGCAGACAGCCACTAAACCAGGGGAACTGCAGTTCCAGTCTGCTGCGCCAGGGGACCTTGCCTTGACAAAGTCCTTGAAGTCTGGCACTTCATCAGTCTTCTGCTGAATGAGAGTGGCGCCGTTCAGCTGACAGCTGCAGAAGCGAATGTAGGGCTGCATGTGGGGCAGCTGGGCAGTCAGGATGTCACCGATCATCTTCACTGGCATCCGCTCACCAGACATCTTCTTCCGTACCCGCAGAGCCCTTCGCAAACACACACCTGCAGTTAGCACTCAGCCTTCAGACAGGAGTTTCAGAGATCATACCCTGCAGGCAGGAGTTTGAGATCACACCCTGCAGGAGGGAGTGTCAGAGATCACACTGCAGGCCAGAGTTTGAGATCACACCCTGCAGGAGGGTCAGAGATCACACCCTGCAGGAGGGTCAGAGATCACACCCTGCAGGAGGGAGTGTCAGAGATCACACCCTGCAGGAGGGAGTGTCAGAGATCACACCCTGCAGGAGGGAGTGTCAGAGA